CTGAAGTTGTCCACATTATAATAGTCTGAAAGGACTTTTGTAATCATACCGTTGCGTCAGCATTTTCGGACAATACGACTTTACATTGTGTTTATTCAGGGACAGAGCGAGACGCTGCTGCTTAAAGCTCATGTCTCATCCACAGTTATTTCCCCACAGACTGCAGCGGCATCCAGCGGCCTCCAGGGGCAGCAGCGAGCACAGGCCACAACCGTGTCTGTGGCTGGTGTTTGAGGAAAAGCAATAAAATGTCAAGTATGTTGTCATCTCTTCAGTTCCACAAACACCACGTTCCCTCTCTCCTCTGGGTCCACACCTCATTATGGACTTTTTACAGAAATGTCCAAATCTATGCAGCAGTTTTTATTTGTGGATTAATGTCTTTATAAAAGGACACACATAGTTTCTGCTGCTCAGATATTTAAAGAGCCTCTGCTTTCTTCAGATCACACTCTCATTAGATCACACAGACAAACACAGACAAATACAGACAAATCCAGACATTAGCGCTGTCTTTATATTGGATCCATTCATTTCATGCTTTACACGCTGCAGCTAAATGAAAAACATCAGTCACAAGTGAACGCTGAGCCACAAGTAAGAGCTGTGAGCCACAAGTAAGAGCTGTGAGCCACAAGTAAGACCTGTGACATGGATCTATAATAATAACTGGATAGAGTATTACTAGCTTACAGCTGTCCCACCCATGGCCACAGGGGGCGCTGTGGTACTGCAGACAAAATTAACGTGGGATACCCAAAAAAAACTCCCATAAAACTCAATGTAAACTAAAACAGAGAACCTGACAGAGAACCTGACAGAGAACCTACAGAGAACCTGACAGAGAACCTACAGCTTTCACAAAGGTCAGATTTTGTGTGGATTTTAGTGTCCCTTGTCATCCTGAACTTTTTTTCTTCTTAAATCCTTCAGGTTTTTAAAAAATCCACACTTTAGTGAAACACACTCTGATCGTTTCCTTCCTGCTCTAACTTTGCTCTGATCAGCTCTGATTGGTCAGAGCGCTGCCCTCTGATTGGTCAAAGACAACGTGCACTTGCATGAGAGTCACACACACGTATTTGGTGCAAAGCATCATGCACAGAACTGGGAGGACCAGACAATGATCAAATATGGGCGAGTTCTGCTAATCTCTCGGTGCCCATGGGGGGCGCTACTGAGCACAAGCCATTCATTTGAATTGCTTGCTTGCAATTGACGTCACGTCCGCCTCATTACTTATGCGTATCACGAAGTGGTGGTCAGCCGAGCTCGTTGTTCACTAGAGCAGCGTGTCTGAATCTGCCTTTTGAATTTGTTGTTTTACGTTTTCTAACCGATCGAATCGCGAAACCTTTAATGGATACTTTAGGATTCCTCGTGAAGAGATTAATAATGATCCTCGCACTAAGGACTTTACGAAAAGGCGCAGGAAAAGTGGCTCGCTAACATTTCACTAGCAAACGCTTTTACCTCAAAGGATTATTTATTTACCCAGACATGGAGTCACAATGCTCAGTTATTACATCCCCATCTTTATTTAATGAACTTTCAGGTGTGAGTTGGCGTTTTAAATAAACACTGTGAATGTTTGACCTGAAATGAACACAGCCACAGACGCATTGTTTTGTTGAGAATGACAAGTTCATACCATGGAGCTATAATAATAACGGTTCATACACCAATCATTACTTATACGGATCTTTACGATGCAGGATTTGTCCTTCAGGACCTTAGCTCTAAGTTCCTTAACCCACAGACGGAACAGTTGTAACATTCCAAAACAGTTGTTATTCCAAACCTTCAATTGTTTAGCAGTGCAAAAGCTTGATTGTAACTCTAGCTAGTTTGAGATATCCAGGAACTGAACTGATATTTTTCTAACTCGCAAATCAAATTATACTCCGATAACGCATTAGGATCATATTAGGGTCTTTGCCGTTACACAATTTGATCTTGAGAATTAGGATCTAAAGTGAAAAAAATGACAGTCTACGTGTCTTTAATTCAGACAGAATGTTTTATTGTCGATGGTAGAGGCAGCATAAACACAGATGTTACAGAATGTAAATGATAATATACAGCGGAGGAATGGAGACCTCCTATCAGCATTCGCCGCGGTGCCAGCAGCTTCAACCTTGATATTACCAAAACATGTAGTGGAAAAATACTGCCTTGTGCATAGAGTTAGAACGTCAACTAGCTTCAAAGTGTCATGAAATATCCAAAAAAGCACAAAAATACTTGGAAGAAGAGTCGCATTTTCTTCGCATATCAGCAGCATTTTTTGTTGGCCTGACCACCATTTCATTAACCGGGAGTTGATGCGTCAACTGACGCATTTTAATTGTCATCTCCCTTTTGGCACCGCGGAACGTTTCTCACTAGGTGAGTTTCAGACGGACCGATTGTACTGGAGCAGACTTCCAGGCTTGTTCTCCGCAAATCTAACCGGTCCCCGAACCTCCCAATGACAGAAGTGACTCAGAGAAACACTGTTCCCACTGACTCTGTGCAAAGTGTCTAAAGTTTGTGTTTGGTGCGGTACTACCCTCGCACGCTGCTGCAGCTGCACTCGCTTCGCTATGGTGTCCGCACTGGTTTGTGGCAGTGAACATGAACAAAGACGCTGATGTGAACGCGTTGGTTCACAGTAACATCAGCTACAGATGGAAAGTATATTTCTAAATATAGCAAAAATTGCACTGCGTTGTTGGACAATATTTTTGTTGCTTAAGCTTATATATTCAGTCATTATTCAATGGTATACTAAAAATCCATGTGAAAAAAAATACTTCTCACTGTTCTCAGGTCAAATATTTGTATAA